GGAGGCGGGGAGGGGGGGGGGTGATTACACCGCTATCGTTCTGTACTTACTAGTACCAACAATTATCTAATCAATTATCCACTACACACGAGGAACGATTATCTGCGAATGGCATAAGCACCTCAACACAGCCAGAATCATCATTCAGAAGCAGGTCAACCTCCACTAGAGTGGGCTATTTTCGCGTGATCAGATGTGCAGAGATCAAGAATGGAAGAATTTCGTGGGAAATCTCAGATAGAGAGAGAGAGAGAGAGAATGGTAAGAAGGCGATTGAAGTAACGTGAGACAATTCAAAATGCAAATTGGTCCCTTTTCCCTCACAAAATATTTGGAAAGGATTATAGTTGCCCCAAAAGAGATGGGGAGTGGAAATAAATCAGGAATACACTAATTGGAATCAAATTTAAAAGGAGTATTAGAACAAAGTAATTTATCAAATCAAAGCGTCAAGTTGTTTCCTCCAAAATAAATAGTTGTAGGAATTAGAAAAAACACCAATTTGACGGATTTGAAGAATAAATTAATCAAATTTTGACAATTTCTCTTCAGCAAAACTTAAAACATCGTTATTAAAAATTAGAATTTGATTTGCGCAAAAAAAACAAAGATGCGATTAAATTTAAGTTTTTCAGAATTCAAGCATTTTTACGAAGATATACAATGAAGAACTTTATGGTATCGGCATATTTTAAACGGACAACACATTTTGGGTAATCAAATAACTAGATATTGCACATAAGAAACACAAGTTTGCGCAAAAAAATGAACATCAAATTCTGGGAAAGCTGAAAATTATACATCTCACCAAAAGTTATAAATTTTGCCCAAGTTACACTTATCATTCTAATCATAAACATACCTGGCAATTCGCGCAAGTATACGCTAAAGTGATGTTAATTATTCATTTAAGAAAACCAGATTAAGTAGGAAATAGGCAAATGTTGAAAATGATTGACAATCAATGGATCTGCAACGCGCTTTAAAAGATGAAAATATATAACACTACCACTAGGCGTCAGATTAAAACGGTAGGAGGATATCGTGACTAAAGGAGATAACAACAATTTCAAGAAAATAAATAAAAATAGCGAATAAAAACGAAAGCAAGGCAGGCTTATATAGTGAAGTTGTATTCAGCCAAGCTGTCTATTGTTCTATTTTGTGAAAATTAATAATTGGGTTCAATTTAAATGAATAGTTTAAAGAACACCTAATGAAAGTGAAAAAAACAATTGATTTAATCGACATTGATATCCAATTGCATAAAGCATATTCCCATTAGCCAATAAAATTCGAGAATCGATCTGATTTACCAGTAATTGATTGGACGCCAATGAGCCAATGAAAACTGTTTCGGGAGTAGAGATTGAACAGATTTATTTCAACAATCCATTTTCGTTTCACTACAACTAAATGTCTTATTTTCCATCCATCTCCTCGTGTGATTTAGTTTGTTTCGTGATATTCCCATGGGATTGCTTGATACAAAACACGCGTGTGTCTATAATTAACTGGGAGAGGGAGAGAGAGCTATATAGTACAGAAAGATAAAAACGAAATTTAACTAACATTTCCATTAAAAAGACGAGAAAATACAACTTTTACTTCATTTAGGATTGGCAGTTAGTGTTTTAGATTTTATGTCAAAGAAAAACGGCATTAATTTAACTGGGAAACAATTTCGGCTGACAGACTGAATGGCAAAACATGGGTCTAGAATTGGGTTTAGTGAAATCAACATTGTTAAGGAACTATTGTACAGAGGATAAATTAGACCTAATGTAATAATTAGCAAAAGTGGCTCCCATGCCGTTAAAAAGGAAATGAATTCTCAGTCTGTGGATACAGACAAATGATTGTATAGGTAAAAGGGGAAACAGTTTTGCATTAATTATAACGATGTATTGAGCAAATTGGAATGTCAAGCAAATATGAAACAAAATTGTGCAAAATGGGATATTTTAGGCAAAGCATAATGTCAGAATCGTTATTACAATAAGAATTAGATTTTTAAATATGACCAAATTTTAATAATTTCTTTTGGTCATAAAGCGATATTATGTGCTAAAACCTAAAACCTTAACAGACAAAAGAATGAAATCCTTTTTAATTCCTGTTAATATTGCTTTCAACCATATTTCTACCCAGGTTATCTGATCCTAAAGATACCGAGGTGAGAATTTGATAGTATTTTTTTCCCTTGCAGTAAAATAGCATGACCTAAGAATTTATTTATTTATTACTACTAGACATTGTAAAATATATTCTTTAAATTCGTTCAAAATTAAAATAAGCAATAAATATGCTCGAAACTTGTGACACATCGAAATCATTCAAACACAATGGATGAGATTTGTTTTGGTTTGAAGAGTGAAACTATAAGTTTGCAATGATATTTGCCCAATAATTAATTAATTCCATAATGCCATTAAGACGGTATCTAATACCTCCTATTTGTCGATGAAAGACAAGACGGTGTGAAACCCACACAACCAAAACATTGATTTATTGGATCTGAGCACAGCGAACATGAGAATCTAAAAAAGACAAATTTGCCAATTACATACCACGACCTGGCGTGTATCACCAAGGCACCCCATTGTCGGATCTCAAACTTCACCGAACTTAGAGCTGCATTAGAAGCAATAAGCTAATAACAATTGACACTATAGGGTGGGAAAGCCAATAGGCGGGCAAAACAATAATTAATAATAAATGAGAATTCGAACAGGACTTAAGGGGGTGAATTTGAGCCCCTCGCATATCAGGGGGATAACAGATTATAAGCGGAGTGATTTCAACCCCCTTTAGTCATGACAATAGCACTAAAGTGTACCAATAATAATGCCCAGTTTTGAATTAACTGAAGAACAAAAAGTGTACAACCTGCTTTAATTTTAATTTGGAGTAGAATTAACAAAAAATAAAAATGCAAATAAAATATTCAGATTTTTAGGGAGTTAAAAATATTGTTTAAAATACACCAAGCCTTCTTATGAAAATGACATAATGTTTCTTTTTTTTGCAAAAAAAAAACTGTAAATAGAATGAATAAGAAAATGCGAATGAAAAAAATAAATGAATATTAATGGGAAAATTTTTCCAAAACTTGGTTTTCAAACAATGTGGTGCATATTTGCAACTACATGCTATAAAAAATTGTGAACGATAAATCAATATCTAAGATATGAAGCCATTTGCTTGTGCTATAAGAGACTCTGCAAATGTTTAAAAAGCCACAAATAAAAAAATTTAAATAATTCAACGATCGAAAATATTTCTAAACAAATGGCTTCAGAGGATACTCGACGACATTCTTAACTGTCTATCAGTAAACTTTTCAATGCCTTAAATGGCATTTTCCCAGTCTTTCTTTTGTACATTTCAAGTGTTCTCATTTTAAAGTTCGTTTCATTTGGGAAAAAAAAATAAATAAAAATAATGATGTGACTATCTCAAGGGAGAGTTCATCAAAAGGAACTCACGTCAGTTCGGGATGGGCAGAGGATGACGGATGAGCATAGGAAGGACATCTCATTGGAATTTAAAGTCGCAGGGTCGGGAATGGGGGTTAGGTCGTTGTCACAGTGATAGGCCGGAGAAGTTAGATGCACCATTGCCTGCTTAATGTAATCCACAAGACCCTTCGCCGCGGGCGATACATTCACATGAATATAATCCTGTTGGTAAATAAGTAATGGAGTGCTTGAAGCGTCAAACAATTTTTTTGGGAAAAATAATTAGGCAGTAAATTATAAATTAAACTAAACCACTCTTCATTGATTGTGTCATCAATTAGTTCAAATTCATTGAACTTCAACTTCGGAAAGCTAATTGCATTGCTTAGCATGGTTTATCTTAGGAAACCATCATATCGAGTAAAGGGTAACCTATTGTCGTTGGAAAATGGCCCAGTCACGACCTGAAGTGCACATAATGACGACGTGACATATAGGATAGGTCAAGCTATTCCATTTTGTTGGTTCAAACCACTTCGAATTCACTCATGAAGTTTAGACATACCAACTACCCCAAATCCCACAACTCCCTCCNCCCCCAACCCCCCCCCCCCCCCCCCCCCACCCCCCGTTTTACGGACTGTTGGAAAAGCCTCTTATCTGTGCTCAGCAACTAAGCAATTATTTTACAATATATTAAAGTAGCCTTACTTTCGCCATTAGCGTCACCTTAAGACCCTCTGAGAAAGAGTATAACTTGCCTCTATTCAATTCCTCAGCAGTAGCCGTTTCTCTCATTTTCAATGGATGTCCCACCTATCGCTACTTCAAAACAAATATGGTGCAGCATTTTTTCCGTCTCATTTTATTAGTAAGCAAATGAGCCTTCAAAATTATAACCATTACACCTTTACTCACAGCAGTAAAAGGGGAGAGTAGGCAAAAGTAGTGATGACCTTTAAAGGTTAGGAGGGCATTGTGACAAGAACGAGGGCTAAGTGGGAATGGAGGTGAGTGGAAAGGGGAAAGGAGGAAGAGGAGAAGTCACGGGTCGGTGTGGAAAAAGTTTCCGTGTTGAGAGAATGGAAACAAGGACGCGACAAAGAGAGAGCCCCTTACTAAATCTTTAGCGATTTGACTTTAATTGAGCACTAGCATTTAGTCCTTAGCCTTAGTTACCCAATATGTTCTCTCCTATGATTTTCATGATGTAGGTGAACGTACAAGCTCCGCCATTGGTCTTTACTTTCTCTTTGTTCTGACTTAACAAAAAGCATTCGGTAATATAAACAGAGCCCGCGTTTCCATTCCCAGCTTAAATTCAAAGGCATTATATATATTTTTTTTCCTAAACATAGAAACAGGTAATCCCACCAACAGATGTGAAATTGCATCAACTTTCTCCGTTTCACCCTCCACAACTATACGTGCAGGAGGGAAATTGACAGCGGCCAACACAGCGGCCCAGCGAGTTGCCAGCCAACACAGCAGCGCCTAATAGCCACGTAAGTCCACCCACTTTCCCTCCATTTCAAAGGGATTGGGGTGGAAAGGGGGGGGGTAGTAGAGGGGGGGGGAGGTTGGAAAGGATAGGAGAGACCACGAACATAGAACATTACTGGAACACGCGTTTAATTATCATTCTCTCTCTCTCTCCCTCCCACTCTCGCCGTCTGTGGGAAAAATGGCAACTTTTAAAATTTTACAAAGGAAGGGGAGTGGGGATAAAAGAGATTGTCAACTGTGGCAAGGAAAGGAGATAAATCACGTCTTACGGGAAGACACAAAATTAGTAGTACCACCCCCCCCCCTCCCCTCCCCCCCTTCTTCCGCGTTTTCACCAAGATTAAGCTGAAAGTACTAAATTACACACGAAAGCTAGCAGCGAAATGACAGAACGATTCGTCTTTCATTACAAAAGCTATTCTTGTGTTGGGTGGGGAAAGGGGAAATACACCCGACTGACGTGGAATTCTATACCCACCACAGATGAAATGAAATCGCTGAGATATATATACATATATATATATTGCCACCTCGGGGTGTGCGATAGACTTACCTCCACGTGGCAACGTATACTCATACGGCAAAAAAGTTTATAAACCGGCAGTTGACTTCTGACTTCAAACTACCATGACCCCACTGTATGTCATATTCCACCACTTCCACAGTACTCGTCTTACCTTTTCTCTGCATTTGTGTCTGTCTGTCTGTCTGTCTCTTTTGCATCCATGAATCACTCTTCCGTTTCCTTTCTCGAATGTGTCACACTTTGATGTTCCTCCCCTCTGTGAAGCCCGAAGTCAGCTAAATGGCAAATGATAGCTATCAAAACGCCTGCCATTTGAAATTAATAAATAAATATTGCCACCTCAATTGCAAACACGACGGGTTAATAGTAGGAGCGTATTTCATTAAAATCAATCGAGCTCAATTCAAGAAGTACCCACACACATACAAACAGAAAGCATGGCATATGAGTACGCACTGGCTCAAAGTTAACGAGCTGTGCTACACTTTAGAGAATTTTGATTAATTTGGAAGTAAATTGTATTGAAATAAACCTATCAAAAAAGTTACTTAAGTTAATATCCTCAATATGAACACAGGAATACAGGTTTTGCAATTATGCAAGCATTACTACACCCAATAAATCTGTTAAAAATAAAATTATGAATCCATAACGCAAAAAAAGCAAGACTCTGCGTCTGATCGACCGGAGTACTTTTGCGCTGTACGTCTTCAAGGACTTTTCAATTATTAACAAGTTTTCGCGGTAGAAGTTCAACAAAAAAAAGGGTGGGAAGAGAAGCGAGAAATCGGTTGAGAAGGGAACTGAATTCCTTCTCTACTTAATTTTAGGGATTTAAAAGTCAAAATTTCATCAACTTCAATCAAATGGTTCAGACCACTAACTTACACGATTTTCATTTGCCTATAGCATTTTATGCATAAGAGAAGTCATTAGAGTCCACTCAAGGTAAAACTGAATTAGACAGATGCAGAAACAATTGTCGGGGCTATTTCATTAAAAGGGAAACATAGCGTAGCTTAATAATTGAGCCACATTTATTCATTTAAACTCGTTTCACCCCAAGTAGCCAAAATAAAATCTCAACTAGAAGAAAAGATGGTATGCCAATATTTCGGTGATTTTAGATAGAAGGATAGTAAACTCGACCACCTCGAAAGAAACTTGGTAGCAGTCAGTTAATCAGTTCCTTCCATGACGACTTGGTAAGAACCCGAAATCTGAAGATATTCGGAGGGAAGAGTTTTGCCTTCCAATGAAAAATATGAAGACATAATTGTAGTCTTGAATACTACGAAGAATTGCCAAAAGAAACATTTAAGAACGAACCAGTTTAGCTGAGTTTAACAGTAACAACAAGGCCATAGACTGCCTTCACCAAAGGAGCAGAATTCATAAATTGTAAGGAGGGAATTCCTTCATCGAAACTGTATCTTCTATTAGTCCAACTGAATAAAAATATGGAAGAGGGATTTGAAGTCGCTAGCCATCCAGTAAGAAGATTCATGCGTATCGGATAGCATCGAGACAATGGCCTCTAACTAGACAAATAAACAGATAGGCCACAAGGTCAAGGTCAAGTGGAGAAACAACCAATCCCAAGAATTCAGACCCGACCATCCATTCAAGTATTGCTGTGATCAAACGAGAACATTCAGTTCTGAAGTAGTATGATTGTTGACTACTGCCTCCTAATCCACCGCAAACCTTCGCTAATTTGATGTACAATTTCTGTTTACTACGTAACACCAAGGTGTCGAAAAAGTGGAATGGAAAGAGGTAAAGGACAAGATGCGGAAAAATTAGAATACAGCACAATAGGAAAGTGTCTGACGAAAGTGATAAACGACGTACAGATGAGGTATGAAGAACTGTAGAGCAAAATTTAAATCAATAAGAACTTAACTCGTGGTGTTTTAGATAATAGAATTAAATATCAAAAAAAAAATAAAATGGAATGAAATAGCATACCCCAGAAAGAGTCAAAACGATTCGGGAAGCGAGGGGAACACTTAATTGAATCTCGGCGCCGCATTCGGGGTTTTCGTGTTCAGGGGGTTGAGTTCTTGGAGTAGTCTTGTCATTATTTTTGGAATATGCGAATCCGAAGAAGTAGCTCAGCCATGAAGACTGCCTAGGTTTTGCAGGCTTGTACTCAGCGAGCTGCATATACAAAAAAAGGCACGAAAATGTTGCTACTGTTTTAATATAAGTACACTATTAATGGAGGAGGTAGAGAGACATTATTACTCTTCAATTGAACCGCACAGAGCAAGGAAATACGACGTATTCAAGCAGAGATAACAAAACTCAAGTCACTTAACTTCAAAGCTCATAGCAAATGAAAAATAAAACATACTATTCAAGTCGATCAACTCTATTGACACTTCTCAATCAATTGATTTCAACCGAGTTCATTCAGATCTGATTGGTCATGAGAAAAAAGCAAGAAACTTATAAGTGCGGAAACCAGCTTTCCGAATAATCATGTAAATATAATCAGAAGTAAATTTGCATGACAAATATGAACGAAAGTATACTCCGAAGATGGATATGATAATCACTACAAATCCCTGAAATTCAAAAAATCAGGAAAATGAGATAGGCATAGATATCTTCATTAAAGGAATATTTACTTTAAGTGTAAAATATATAACAGAGATATACAAACCGATACTTACCCTACACTTTTTTTCCCAGCACTTTTTACAACCAGGGCAGACAGGTTTCACAAAAAGGTTTGCTTGTTTGGCACATCCACGTCGAATGGGCTTCTTTTTCTTCCTAGCAGCCTCTATGACATGTTCAGGAGCGGGTGAGGGATCAAACTCCGGAGATCGTATATAATTCCAGCCGTGACGAATCCTCGCTCCAAGGCGCTTGAACAACTGTCGTGGAGTGTAGTAGCTGAAAGCAGACAAGTCAGAAGTAGTCTGGGAATCGATCAGAGAAACTAGACGGGGTTTGTGACTGGCAGGCCGAGCGGAAGTTAGCGATGTTCCCCCACCTCCATACTCCACATCTCGCCAGCAACTCCATTCAATTCCTGTCATAGCAAAAGTTTCCTGCTTTCTCTGATCGGCTTGGAAGCACAAACCATCTTCGTTGCATTGAATTACTGGACGAATGCTCAGGACATTCCGTCGATCGCACTTTTGCTGAAGACCTGGTTCGATCATACGATAGCACCAGCTAGATAGAAGAAAATAACAAAAAGAATACAACTTACTTGATAATATTATTCTCTTTTAAAACTGACGTGCAAAAGTTATTGAATATCCCGAGAGGAAGCGCATATACAGGAATCTCCCACAAGTTAGTATTCTAAGAAATCAGTAAGCAAAATATCTAAAAAATTATACTGTATAATCAGCTCTTCGTAGAAGACCAGTGATTGCCTACAAAACGATAAATTTGCGAATGAGGGTAAATGACTTCATTACCTTGGCTAAAAGATTATCGTCCCCCGCAACGATTATTGCATCAGTGCTTTTGGGATCCAGGACGTTAGTAAGCTTCTTTACCTCATCATCATCATCTAAGTAAACCATTTGGACATCGAGACCACTAATTTGAAGAAGCGGCATAGCGTTGTCATCAAACTTTTCAAGAATTCCTCTCTGATGAGCAAATGGATTTAGAAAGACAGTGACTCGATGTAGACCTTGCTTTTCTTTTAAAGGCTTCATCCCAAGTTCCTAGCAAAATTTTAGGAAAATGTAATGAACAAACCTTCAGCTGACTGCATAATCGACGACGGAGAAGATTATCACTAAAAGGGGATTGTACTTCATAATGGACTTACTTGTATTTAGTTTGATAGTGGTTTCCAATATAGGTGAAAGTACCAGCAAGGAAAATTGAAGTTTTGGGGTATTTTTTAATGCTTTTTATTAAACCTTTGATCATGCCTGACTCTAATTTTAATTGGATGTGTTTGATGGGTTTAAATTTAGCGGCGAAGTATTTGTCAAAATTAATTTATGTTAAATATCATTCCTTAAAGATCTCACATGCATTGAAACATTCATAATTTTAAGATTTATACTTTTCTGCATTTTCTGAATCCGTCGAACATTTTCACAACGTGTTCAGTTTGGAAATTAAATGTCTTGTTTGCCTAAATGACCTTGACTACCGAGACTTCTGATTGCACTCGGAGAATGTGCTATCGATCTTGAAATGAAAATTATTGGATTATTATTGCTCATGAGCAATTTTGCCTATTCCTTTCCATTTTTTGCTCTTGTTTTATCAGCTGCAAGCGGGATATCTTTCCTCCCCTACATATATGAACCCATAAAGTGTACATTTGGTGAATGTTGCTCTAAGGCACTTCATTTTAATTCAGAAAGTAAGTTAGCTGTTTTAATATTTTATTCTAGGCTTGCGTAATAATCTTACTAGCATGCTTTATGGTCAACACATTGCTGTTGAACGAATATATTATCACGCGAAAGCAAGTTATCTTTAATTTACGATATATTCATCCAGGCTTTCTCATTTTTAACCAATTTTTTTCTTCAGGCTCACATGGAAAACCCCAATCCCAGTAGATGTTTAGTTCTTTCCCTTCATGGTTTCACAGGGATTGGCAAAAATTATGCAAAAACAATTCTTGCATCGAACTTATATGTTCGTGGAGAGAAAAGCAAATTTTATCACTTCTTCGACGCCACTGTGGATTTCCTATTCAAAGACTCCGTTGACTTCTATAAGGTTTCAACTATTTTTGCATGCAATTCTCATTTGCTTATCAGTGCATATCATCCGCTTTTAATTTAATTAGCATCAAGTGATAACTACAATTAAAGAAAAGGTTCAACAATGCCCCTATTCCATGTTTGTTTTTGATGAGGTTCACAAAATGCCACCTGGGATTCTCGACGCTCTTGTTCCCTTTCTTGGACATACTGAATCGATCGGCGGTGTTGACTACAGGAAAGCTATCTATATTTTTATCGGGTATTACATTTTTCTCTTCCTCACTTGTGTTCGAGTTAAGTCACTTCCTTACTGTTCGAAATTCCTTCCATTCTCTTTTAGCAATTCTGGTGGTTTGCATATTAACGACTATGTGCTGAAAACTATTGAAAGTGGCAAAAATCGAGTTTCTATTCAATACACTGATCTTCGGAATGAACTCGTCAAAGCGATCTACAGTAGTGAAGGTTTGCCCCCTTTTATATTGTCAGTGTACTTAAATCCTATGCTATTTGATCTCTTTGTTTTTAAATTTTTCGCATTTTGTATTTTTTTATTAATTTCGTTAGTCTTGGTAGTGCGTTTTTTAATTCTCATTTTATTAATGGAGCATTGCTCGTATTATTGTCTATGGCTTTCGAACACTAGAATTAGCTCTAAATATATATTGCAGGTTAGCGAAGTTAAAAGTGGTCACATGTGAACGCAGAATAGTAAATTAATATTTACTATTTATTTAAAAGTAACAAATATTAACTTTTTTGACCAACAATATACTGAACATTCAAGTGTTAAAAGTCTCCAGCACGAACCTCACTACGTACCTCAACTTGTCTCCTTTATCGTGATCACATTGTACTTTTCATAAAAGTATCCTCAAAATTCATTTAAAAATGTCTTTTTTTGGTAGTTCCATAATTGTTAAATGTGCGGAATAGGCTAATCTAGGGAGTGCCAATATCTGTCTGGTTCTTTAGTCTGTAACCTTTTTTTCACCTCTATGACGACGAAAATGGGGGGTGTGGGGAAGAACATTTAAACTATTTCGATTTTTTAACCACAATCTTATTTGGAGATGATGTGGTTCAGGCAATGTTCTGTGCTTTTAAAAAGATTTATTTATTTATATCAAATGGCAGGAGTTTTGATAGTTATCATTAGCCCTGGAGCTGGCTTCGGAGCTTCACAGAGAGGAGAAGGAACATCAAAGTGACAAAAAGTCGAGAGGAGGGAACAGAAGAGTGATTCACAGATGTAAAAGAGACAGACAGACACAAAGGCATAAAAAAGGTAAGTTGACAAATAGTCGGTCCATAGTAGTTTGAATTCAGAAGTCAACTGCCGAACAATAGACTTTTTGCCGTATAAGTATACGTTGCCCAGGGTGCACCACGTGGAGGTAAGTCTATTGCGCACCCCGCTTTTAACAAAGATAATCTAGACCGATTTCAGATAGCTATCAAATTGAAAATAATGCCGACTTAGTAGTTTGACATCGTCGAGTACCCTATATTAGTTTAAATCGGATGATTTAATCACAGGTCTTCAATGCTAAATGGATTAGTGAAGGTTGACTCATTGTATGAACTATTTACGCATAAATATAGTTTAATTTGATTACTGCGAAATTTTATCACCGCGAGAGCGTTATGGTTGTAGTCCTCTCTTAACGGAATATGTGTTAGACAAAGCTCTTTTATATTCTCTTAACATAAATCCATTTTGAATATCTTCCCAGATAGCTTCAAACTGTTCAACTTACGTAAGTGATTCATCCCAACGTAAAACAAATTGCAATTTTTAAAGGTTACTTTTCCTTCTTTTTTTTGTAGGGGGTCTCGGGTTATCCGATCTCTTTAGCAAACACCTCATCACCGCGGTGATACCCTTCCTTCCCCTACAAGAGATTCACATTCGTTCCTGTATCAAATATTTAGCCAAGTATCTGGGTGTTGAAGCCACAGAGGAAATGATCTCCTTTGTACTCTCGGAACTTGACTGGGAACCGGAAGGCACCCGCCTCTTTTCAACATCTGGGTGTAAATTAGTCTACGACAAAATTGCGTTCTTCCTTCAGATGAGAAGCGATCTAATCGACTTTACTGATCCTAAGAATATTCATGGTGAACTTTGACAAATCGGCTGCTTGAATGCATCCAGTTGTGCCTTGTAATTAGTGTTCTCGATCCAAACCCCCCCCCCTTCCCCCAATCCCGTTGTATTATTAACTCTGATACCAACTACTTCGTTGGAATTTTAATTTCTTGACTGGGTGCTCAATCCATTTGATGTAAAATGGCCGTTAAGTTTGAGGAGTGGTAAAAAAGTATTTGAAATAAAGAGACAGTTTATTCCTCTTCCATAGAAATATTTCTGAAATGTTTTTGCAAGTTTTTTTGTTGGAAAGAGCGACTAATTAACAGTAAACAGTGAATTGAGGAGTTTGCGTTTTAGAATCCACATCTGTCAATTTTTATCCAATTGGAATCTTGTGTTAGAAATTTGTTTAAAGTTTCGAAAATATGACTTTCTCAAGCGAAACACCTGTTGATTTACCCTATTGGATCGTTTTTGTAACCGTAATTTGTGAGCTCTTAACCGTAACAGCTCTGATGTTCGCCCTTTTGCCTGAGGAACATGTGGTAACTATGCTTCATGATAACCCCCCACCAACGCATTGAGCCATTGGTCTGAAGTGAACTATTGCAGCCTACCATTGATGCTTCATTCGCAACACTGGGTTGCTAAAATGTAAAATCTAGTATGGCCACTCGATTACCACTTCCAATGGTTAAAATTCTGGAGAGTTGGTTTGGGCTCATTTTATTGATGAAAGAAGTTGTGAACAGCCAATGGATCTACTAAGTTATGCAGGATGAAATGTAGTCAGTAAGTGCGCGCGTGCGTGTGTGTGCTTTATTGATTAAAGCGGTGACGATTAATTTGATAAAAGGTAGATGCCACAACTTGTGCTTTCTTTTTCACGGAAGGGATGCTTGTACGTATTTTGTATTTTCTCATTCATTTATTTGTTTTCTTTTATTTTTAACTTGAGGAATAACTGCGATCATTGAAGGAAATCCCACTATCGGAGGTGTAGCGGATTGCTACGCTTGTAAAGCCTGACCGACTCAGAAATCTCTGTGGCAGATTCTCCTACATCTAGCTAGACTCCCAGAACCAGCTAACCTATAGCCCAGCTATGAAAGGAAACAGACGTGTAGCACGGAGCACGTTTATTCAGTAAGTATATTGTGAGTAAAGTGTACACGCAGGGAGCTTAATCATGATCAGGATGGCGGATTAGGTTAAACAAACAGTGGTTAATGATTGGTCACTATTTGTACGGTCGCACCTCCCAGTCATGGCGTGCAGGCATGCGATGACGTGTCCCACAGAGGCATTGACCACAACTTAATGTTCAAACTGCCTAACGTTTTAAGTATTGGCCACATATGACTAAGAAATTTAATTTTTAACATTTAGGAAAACTGATTAATTATCATTTTCCCCATAAAATGGATGTAATTTTATTTTAATAATCGTGACGTTATTTTAAATTAACTTGCAATTTGACTATCTCTACCTTCATACTCTGATTCTGCAGCAGCTTTCTTACAAATGATGCCAGAAGGGACCAGGAAGTAAGAATGAACTACTTAAAATTATATAAGTATAAATAAATTTAGTGCTTGACCATTTCGGGGATGATTAGTGAGGGGGATATAACCATATTTGGATCATTATTCGTTTAAAGGTTTCTCATTGAAGAGCTTCCCAAATACTTCCTCTCTACCTAAACTAAGTTCTATAAATTGGGTTGACAATTAATAACTTGGTATAAATGAAGCAAATAGGTCTGAAGTCCAGAGAGATTAGTTCAAGATGGTACGGTATTAATTTGCTGTCAGCAAAAATTACTTTACATTAAAGGGGGTGTGCGATAGACTTACCTCCACGCAGTGCACCCCGGGCAACGTATTCTCATACGGCAAAAATGTCTATTATCTGGCAGTCGACTTCTGACTTCAAACTACCATAACCCCATTGTATGTCTTATTCGATCACCTCCACCATAATTATCCTACTTTTTCTCTGCCTTTGTGTCTGTCTGTCTCTTTTACATCTTTGAACCACTCTTCTGTCCCCCTCTGTCTCTTTTACATCTTTGAATCACTCTTCTGTTCCACTATCCAATTCTTCTCACTTTGATGTTCCTCCTCCCCTCTGTGAAGCCAACTTTGATGTTCCTCCTTCCCTCTGTGAAGCCCGAAGTCAGCTAAAGGGCAAATGATAAGTATCATGAAGCCTGTCATTTGAAATAAAAAAAGTTACATTAAATGAGAAAAAAAATTTGGCTGTATAAAAATCAGTTTTTAGCTAATTTCCTTTATGTTATGACTATTAAATTGACTATTCTTTTACAGTAAACAATCTCCACACGATACCATTGCTGTCCTTACTACTTTTGACGTAGCCTGACAATTGTTTGGGGCGGTTTATACTTGAAAATTTCGCTGAAGGCTAGTTTCACTTGTCATCAACAAGATGGCCTTCTAAGAGGTTTAATGCGGTTTGCCAATGGTCCTATTTGGGTGGCATTTGCTAAAGCTTCCATGTATTCCTCTCATTTACTTATTTTTAACAATTACGCAAATTCGTTGGGTAAGAGTTCTTCCATTTACTTCCACTTTTTTCTTCTGCTGAACTAATGATAAAGCGATTCCACTTACATTTAAGAGGGATTTTGCAATTGGCTCCTATTTTAAATTGCACAAAAAAGGTTGGAAATAATATCAATCGGTAACACGATTATGGTTCATCATTACAAATTCTAATCGAGCCATAAAGATCAAGCTTCGATCCAGATGAGATGGATTCCAATTCGAAGGAAGAGGCCGACTAAGCCTTGAGGCATGCTCTGCAAAGTCTATAGCAAGATCCCCTAGCTCTCGGGGTTAGCTAAGCCCACATAGAGCAATGCTGGAAACAGACGTATAGGGTGAAACACGTATTTGTGGGTTTTGTGTTACAGATCAAATGACGATTATTGCTTAGCAGCTGGCTGGGGATGTCTCCGAAGCCAAGATCGCACTTATTCCCTACCCGACGTACCCGACGGTGGCATCTTCGAGCCTATCTGAGTGCGTATGAGTTCCCTTTCTTCAGAGCTAATAATGTTCACTCCACAACACCAAATCCCACCAAACGAGGGTGGATGTTGGGAGGAGGCTTTTTTCTCAGTCCACCAAGAAATAGTTGTAATGAAAAGTCGAGCTATTTTTGCATTAGTGGGGCCACATTTTAGGTCAATAGCATGAATTAGATAGCTTTGCATTAATTTCACATATACTTACTGCGAATTATCCCATGCCATTAGTAGTATGGTCCAATTTAATCCCATCAATACAAAACACTTTATCTCCAAATTACAGCATAAAATGCATTCTCAACATAACTAAGATTTCATTGTTTAATGCTAAACTTCAACGGAATCTAGTAGGTCTTTTATACACATACAAATATGATATTTTTGAAGAAATATAAAGTTATTTGCCACACATTTTTCAGTGTGAAAAGTGTGTGGAAATATTGCTTTGAACGTGCAGAACATAATTGATTCTTTGTTTTTTTTGCTCATTCGACGTGTTCTTCGGCAACCCTAAAGAGAAAGGAGAAAGATCTGATTAAACACTATAGGCAAGTAGATGGTAGAATGAAGGTGGTTTTACTTATGGGAAATCAATACAAATCAAATTTATCTAACTGTTTAACTATTTAAGATAAAACTTTATTTTGCAGTTGCCTATTTGGCTCATCGACTGGATTCTTATGCCGTGGAGAAAATCAATGTAGTCCTTGGGTATCGATTTTAATTATCCACTGACTCAACTACCTGAAATATTTATTCATAAAAAAACTAAATGTGATTAAGTAAAGGTAAAGGCTTTAAGCCTTACCACTGAAAATGAAAGCGGTGCCCACAAATCTCACGCTATTGAGGAATCTCAAAAAATTGACAGATTTTAAATCAATATTTAGTCAACCTTAATAGATTTAAATATCACGCAGCTACAATCCCAAGAAAGTGGCCCTATAATTGAATTGTTTCACTCTCCTTAACCGTCTGGCTGCTCCACAATTAGGGTATGTAAAAATGGAATTTAATGTTAGATTTTATTCTCCCATGTATATGCAATAGATAGAAGTTTTATTATTATTCTTTACTTTCTCTTTATACTGAACCGATTTTGGGCCAATACAAGATGTTTATCTGTTTGATTTCAAGTTGAATTAAGATTTGTTAGCTGCTATCTTCCATTGGTTTTCTCTTTTCACTTCGTGCCTATCAAGGATCCCCAACCCCCTGCCCAACAGGAAGATAAAGTCGGCCTTCGATTACTCTTGGTGATCATATTGAATTCATGAGATTGTGTTAGGCTTGATTCTTATGGGTGTATATGACTTATGAATTAGTTTACCATGTGTCACAAACATAATAGAAATCCTTTAGTCATCTCTGCCTCATATGGACTAAGAAGATAAATATAAAAAGGGTTTGAAATGAACGATAGGAATGTTTAATTTTAATATCTGTCAATAGACTTTAAGGCAGCGCTCAACAATTAGCACGAGGAGAACTACTAGGAGACTTCCCAAGCAAATAATGAAGATTCCAAATGCAGCGATGAATTCAATGGAGTATTGCGACCAATTGACCAGGGGGTTGCGCATTGCGTTCACAGCCCGATCCTTGAATGTCACGCTACAGGCATTTGGCAAACTGGCAAATTGTTCTGTTTGATTTCTGAAAGTCACAAAAGATCATCCATTAAAATATTATACTCGTTCCCAGGGGTGTGCAATAGAATTACCTCCATGTGGTGCATTCTGGGCAACGTGTACTCATACGGCAAAAAAAGTCAATTAATTGGCAGTTGACTTCTCACTTCAGACTACCATTACCCCACTGCATGTCAAATTTGACCACTTTAATAGTACTCATCTTACCTTTTTTTCCACCTTATCTGCCTTCGTCTTTGAAACACTTTTCTGTTCCCCCCCCCCCCCGCCGTCTCGACTTTTTCACTTTGATATTCCTTCCCTCCGTGAAGCCTGAAGTCAACTAAAGGG